TCAGAATGTGTGTGGGTGGATGTGTTTGTCGATTCCTCATTCATCAGTAACACACACTAATCCCATTGGATAGATACATTATATAAAACATTGCATAGTAAAATCCTCCCTCTTGCGATCACTCGACATGGAACAGGATTTCTTATCCTACTTAATGCTTATGAAGAAACATTGGCTGCCTATTACTTGTATGCAAATGGTTGAGACTATTGTGACTGAGAGCGTGATGCGGGAGATGGTGCCGTGCTGACAGCTGTATCCATGCTGAGAAGTTTACTGACAGCAATAAATTAGTTTCACGCACACTACGGGAAAACCTAATCAGCCAGCCAAAAACAGACACATTTACACATTCATGAATGCACACATCCACAGCATCGATCAACATACTGTATGGACTCACTCAAACACGCATTCAACGCACACACATACGTTCATGGGTAAACTCTGCAAACAGACTGATGGTACCCAACGGCTGCTGTGAGAAAAAAAGATGCTTATGCAATCCCAAAGGACTGTCAGTACATACATGCACTGTATACATAGGGGGTAAATTCACACTGCACAAACATAAACAATGCCAGTCTGAGAAGTAGAACAGTGTGAATGACAGCTGTTGTCCATGCCAGCAGTCACAGAGGGGGGGTGAGAGATTGCATTCACACTTATTTTCTCCACAACAGGATGTTTGAGGACGCATTGAAAAATAATTGAATGCACCCACGGTTTCTTTTGCACAATCTAACCTTGTCTTCGGCCAAGACAAACACACACACACACACACACAGTGCTGTCGGCACACATAAGTTAGAAAATGGAAAGAATGAGATAAGAGCGGTGTAATCGCAGGGAAATGAGTACAGTAGTAGGAAGTGTGAGAAAGTATTCTTCCTGTCAGAGGCTCTAGTGCAGAATCAGTTTTCCCAACATCTGGACTGTGCTGGATCGGTTACAATTGCAGTTAGAATGCATTTGCTGTCACTCTACGGCAGGGACAGACAGATGTGTTGTATTGGCAGATGACAGGGGTCAATATGCAGAGTGTCATGCAGTGTGTGGGTGGATGGCTAGGCAGAGGGATGACCACGGGGTTTAGGGAGTGGATGTTGTGAACAGATGGTCCCTGGTTGCCACCCAAGATCCCATTAAGAAAGATGGAAGGCCTGACCTATTTCCGGACCCACCATGCCGCGCAAATCTACTGCACAGAGAGATAGCGAGAATATCTACATTCAAAGGTTATAATCCTCGCTGTTTTCGTTGGACATCATGAGATTACATATGTTGTTACTGTAGCGTTAATGCAGGAATCAATTGATTCAGATGCTGTAGCAATGCAGCACAAGAATTCCGCCCACTCATATTTTCCAGCTGTTATTTGCTCGGACATTGTGCCCTTGAGTGCTTAATGAGGTCTTTCTACAGAGCAACTGGGGTGATACGGTTGTCAAGAGAGACCAATGAGCCATCCACTATCAGACCAGAGGTGCTCTGCCTTCCACCTATCCTCTGCATGCACTGCATTTGTGTGGACAGCTGTCTCGCAGGGCTCGAAAAAGACACTTCCTCCTTAAGCTGCAGCTGGCACTAATTATTGACTTATTAGTCGCTTAGTTGCTTCCTGCTCTGAATAAGTCCCCACACACTGACTTCCTCACCTGTCAATCAATTTCCAGCAGATCTTTCAAAACAAAAAAATTATATTTGGAAGTGAAAATATTGATAGAAATGTGTGTTTTAGTTTTGATGCCTGCTTTACCAGCAGAGGATCGTGTTCTGTAATGTCCTCATTCATTACCCTCCATGTTTTTCCCTTTGACCGAGCTTAGTGTCAGCTGACAGCCTCAACGGAGGCAGGTCATTTGTAAGTGAGGTGATAAATATTTGATACGGTGATATTGTAAAAGTGATGTGGGATACACAAAGCTAAAGCCCCACACAGAGGAGCAACATAGGCACATGCTAGCATCAATCACTTCCCCCCCGGTATTTTATACGGCACATAAGGTGACACGGACCCTAATCGAAATTGGATATATGGCTCTGTGTGTGTGTGATGGTGGTTGGAGAGGCTCATGCATGTAAGTTACAGAGGCTATGATCACACAACAACAGGGGACTTTGACATACGACCAGTCTGAGGAAACAACATATTATCAGCACCTATGTCTCTTGAAAGCACATAAGGCAGAAAGATGTACACACTGTGTGCACCTGCTGCTCTTTGTTTACGGTTATTACATGCTCTAGGCAATTCCGTGAGCCATAATAGCTTTCGCCTCTTGCAGGCTATGGCTCAGCAATGGGACTCCTTTAGAACAGGGCTTTAATGACCTCAGTGATTCCCATGCAGCACATGTCTGCTCTTAATGGTTATGCAGCGTGGGTGGATGTGTGTTCATTTAATTCCTTTCTCATCAGAGCAAAGCAGTTTGGCAAGGTCACATGAGCCATCAATACAAGCAGGCCTTGTTCTTCGCACTCCAGCGATTCATCGTAGCATGGGGAAACAACATGGAGGACACCTGGGCCAAGCTGCTGCCACGGGTGGATTTAGATATGTCTGGTGATTCAATAAGCCTGCAGGTGTTCTTGATCTTTCCCTGGCAGTGAAGTCATCAAGGCAAATGAATGAATAGAGTTGGAGGGCTCTGCATTTCTGCCTACCAGAGGTGATCTGTCTCAATCTGCTTTGGCACTTCTACCTGGAAAGAGTAGAGCCTGTATCTAGCTTTAATCCTACCTGTGTATATGTGTGTGTGTGTGCTCTGCTCTTCCCAGGCAGACACCCCCCTAATGTCAGATGACTGAGCGCCACTACACAGCAGTTGCCATGGTTACCAGCCAGGTCCTGTGTACAAGGATACTCATTGCAATGTTGATCTGCAGTGAAGCACTGATGGTAGAGCAAGAGTCCCACAGAATCACCCACCTACACACACACACACACACACACACACACACCGTACACACTTACTTTGACAAATACACAAGCTGTCGTGCATGTACTGTTTATGTGGAGAAATACTAGCATACATGCATCCACAAATGTACACGTTCCACCCACATGAAGAGATACTCATTCACCTACACAGAGCGCTCATCAGTTTTGTACATATTGTGCTGCATATCATTAGCCCGAGCACGTGAGCAAACACAGCCTGCTGGGTAAAATGATCAGCCCCACCAGAAGTAGAACAAATCACAGTAGGTGATACACTGGGGTATCTCCAGGCGTAGAAACCCCTTAAAAGCAAACGCTGCCATATTTCTACCCCGACTATCACAACCGCTCTTTGTTTCCTTCTCTATCTGCACGTCTGTCTCTTGGTTGGTGTGACGTTTTTATACTCTCTCACACACACACATACAAACATACAGGGCAGATAGGGAGGGCTCAGTCAGAGCAGAAGATGAAAGCGAGAGGAAGATGTGTCCATGCCAGAGGAGCTGTGTGAGTGGGGAAGTGATGAAAGAGAAGCTCATTTAGTCAATTGACAGCTCCCTTCAGGATTCTACATCTTCTTCACCATGAAAGGCCTGAATCCTTCTAAACGCCCAGCTATTCTCACCAGGCGTGAAGAAACTGTCACATTCCAGCAAACATTTACAATGACAGAGTCAGTATTTTAGTTGGGATCCAACTCTCTCCAAACTCCCACTGCTGCTTCAGTCAGTCCACAGAAGAAACTTCTGTTAATCGTCTAATGCAAGTTAAGATGGGAACTAAAGTAAGATCAGATGAAGCTTAGAGGATATTTTTTAAGTAAAAAGCTGCTTTTTTAGAGCAGCTGATGAATAAACCCACATTATCATATCACAATTATAAAATTCCTAAAGTGATTGTTGGGGTCAAATCACCCAAGTGTATTGTCCAGCATTGGAAATGACAAGATTAACTTGAATGGGCTTTATTCAAACATTTTGAAATGTATAATCAAGCTAACTGTCTGTCGCTCAGTGTAGCTAAGAGGTAGATGAGAGCTGTACCATCACATTTTCACAATGTGTTTGTACCCCCTTAGACCATGTCATTATGACAGGCAGTGCTTTTGAGGTACGTATCCCTAAAGACATCAAAATCACCTGGTATTACACATCTCAGCTAATTCTATTGCTGCAACAATTTCCTTGTGACCATCAAGGGACAGAGTTAACTGTCATTATGGTTGAAATACGAACACTCAAGCGAAATGGGAACAGGCTGAATAGAAGCAGAGCGTCATATATAAGAGTTAGACGGTTGCAGATACATCAGGATTTGGCAAAGAGCCGTAAAGTGCAGGAGAGAATCTGGGGCCAGAAGAGTGAGGGATGAAGCTAAAGAAAGGGCGGTCAGCAGGGGAAAGGGACTGTAATTCATACAATGAGAAAAGCCATAGTGACAGCCCCTTAAAACACACACACACACACACACACACACACACACACACACACACACACACACACACACACACACACACACACACACACACACACACACACACACACACACACACACACACACACACACACACACACACACACACACACACACACACACACACACACACACACACACACACACACACACACACACACACACACACACACACACACACACACACACACACACACACACACACACACACACACACACACACACACACACACACACACCTGAGTGAGTTACAGCGTGCCACACATAGGCCATTAAGCAGAAAGAAGGCAGGCCAGCCAAATATCCGACTGAGTTCAGCGAGGACTAAGCATCCCCAGAATTCTGTAGGGATTAAATTAATTGCCCTACAGAATGTCTCCAGTGGGACCTGTATAACACAGGTGAGTACATGACATGCAGTGGATTTTACAGCAGATTAATCTGAAAGCCCATTTGGGTGTGAAAACCAGTTGCAGTCTGTTGGCCACAGGCACTTGTCTAATTGTGGGTTGGGCAAATGATTAATGAACTGCTACTGGTGTTTGAGACATTTATATCCACTACAAGAGGGAGAACTTACCAGAACTCTGCCAGTGAGCGTCTGAGCGGAGATCATGACACCGGCCCAGTCTTTGACTGAAGTCATCCATCCCACTTCGCTCATGGGGACCTCCTCCTTCACACCTTCACCCTTCGGTTTGTCTGTGGCTACGGGCTGGATCACCTTCACCTCCTGAAAGAAAAACAATAATCTGTGTGAGGAAATGGAGCACAATAAAGATAAGTCAAGCACATGGAAAAAGCTAAATCTACAGGGTAAAATAAAAAAGGCACACATATCAAATGGCATTTAGGCAATACACTACAGGCACAAACATTGTTTTTTTATGAACTGGTACATTTCAAGAGTGTTGTCTGCTTTCAAAATAAGGGAAGGAATATATCCAAACTAAACTCATTTCGAAAAATATTTTACTACAATTTGTATATTAGTATCTGTAGATTTTTCCATTTACCAAGAGCAAACATTACATGTTACTTGTTAGACGCTTTTATCCAAAGCGTCTTACATACTCAATACTGTGGGTAATCCCCACAGGAGCAATTCGGGGTGAAGTGTCTTGCCCAGGGACACAACGACATGCTGACTGCAGTGGGGTTTGAACCTGTGACCACCTGATCCGAACACCTACGGACAACCCACTACGCCACACGCCCCCAAACATGTGATACTATCTTATTTGCATATTTATATACTGTATTTTAACATGTATATCCTATGTTCCTTTTGTGTCTTGAGAATTGAATGGGAAAATCTCAAATATATCTTTAAGGTGAGTTATCTCAAAATGAATTAATTTGCAGGCATCAACAACGCTAAGAACAGCCTGAATATAAATCAACCAAGAAGCTAATTACTGGTATAAGCCCTATTGTACTGTAGCCCTTGCATGCGTGTGTGTGTTAGATAACGACATAATGTATGTGCAGTCGCTCCCCACACACACACACAGCTCTTTAAAAGTTCATTGTTCCGCAGGGTTGAGAGAGTAAAGCTGTTCACATGCAGACCTTTCAACGTTCCTTCTTGTGTCCGACCGAGTGAACAGAGTTGCATGGCAGTTCATTGAGATGCTTTGCTTGGCACAGTCACTGCATGCAGCTGTTCCTCTCCAGCCATTCACTCACTCCTGATTTGACACAAGTAGGCACTCAGCTTCCCTCTCCTTCTGGCATGAAAATGGAATGAGAAGATGTCCCTGTGTTTTACAGCTTTCAAGGCATCCCAATGCTACAATTAAACTCAGAGTAAAGGTTTGTGTGTCACCCTCAGCCTCATAAAACCACACATTAATCCCAGCAAATGGCGCCCACAGAGAATCCCTGGAATTGCAATAACTTTCGACCCTCTTGATGGCGGCCCCATTGCTCCTTTCCAAGAAGGCAGGCTCGTATTACAGCAGGGTACACATACAGCACTTGGAACGCATTTTACAATGTTCCTCCTCAAAGTGACATCCGACAAGTAGCCATCAAAGCAGATTATTATGCCACGTCAACAAAGTGACATTTGTTTCCCAGCACTGAACATGTCACATTGCTACCGTTTGTTTGGATGACCCGGACCCATCACATTTGAAAAGGATGATGCAAGTAAAAAAAGAAATGTGTTTACAGCATATTCGTTTGTGTTGTTACACAAGACGCACAATGTTCCAGGACAAGTAGGCAACCAAAGGCAAAGTAACCACTGGGGTGACCAATACTGTGGAATATGTGCCCACATGCAACACGAAAACAAAACAGACTGCAACTTAAATATCTCTGAAGGGCTAAAGAGCAGTGCTATAACAGATGAGCCCAAGAAATGGCTGTGTCCATTTCAAGAGGATTGGCTGGTCAAATTGGATTATATTTCATAATGATATGGCATGGACACAGCTGCCATTTTCCTAATTTGATTCCAACCCCATAACAATGGCAATAAACTGGCCCTAAAAAAGCCTGACTTAGTCATAAGATCATTATCCGCTCCTGCCGTCAGGCCTCTCAGTACTGCGGTGGATAATTCAGTTACTTATGCTTTATATACTCATTAAACGGCTTAGTGTTACGAGACTCACAAACTGTTTAAGTACCTATGATGGGTGTTATTTGAAACATTTAGTTTTGTCTTTGAAAGTCACACAAAATCAGGGCCTGATTATAAATGCCAGGTTCAATGAAAGTGATGCAGACTTTTCTTCTGAAATGTAGGTAAATAATTAATTAGTGTGTGTATAAGACACAAACTCATTAGTTGTGTCAATTAACTTCCGCTCTAACAATTTCTTCAAAAAGATCAATGTTGCCTGAAAGCTAAGGGTTATAGTGTTACATTAACAGATAAATAGACATATCTAATTGAATACGCAGGCTGCATGAGCAAGATTCTGTCTTCTCTCAAACTCTCAGCCATCAACGACCCTCTGTCCCAACTTCTCCAGTACTCCCCTGACTACTATAGCCAGCATGTGTTTCGCCTGTCACATGCTGCAAATACTCAGCAAAGTGTGTATGCAGAAGGGTCACAGTGCACAGGGATGTCACTCTGATTGGCTACATGTCTGCTCGATGGCACTCCAGGCATGTCGTGGTGGCGTAGTGTGTGCTTGTCTGTGCTCAGCAGTTACTTCTTAGCCAGAGGGGCCCCAACAACTTCACACTCCACACACGTATGCCTCACTGGGAACACGCCACATAACACTGGAACTACCGTATGTCACGTAAGTCACGTCTCATAGAAACTCTACCTGTCCCTATAGCTCTCCTTGCTACCGTTTCCTCGAAATTACGCCTTCAGACGTTAGCGCTGTCACAAGCATTTTGTGGTTAATGCTGCCAACTGAGTGACAGGTTCGCTTGTGCTACCATGAAAAAACAAAAAAACAATGTTTTCGTGAATAAGATTCCTTTAGACAAGCTAAAGTGAAGCTAGACATGTTTCCTGCTCGGATTTCATGTTTTCATTTAAAATGTGTACTCTGTGTCTAGACGTCCATGGATGTCAGGCTAAAATGGGAGCAGCAATTCTCTCTGGTATACCCCTGAACATAGAGGATGTAGGAACACATTGAGCTGCAGTAATGGTTTACTGTGTGTGCATGGGGTGGAGGGGAACACATGAATAATGGATGCAGTCACAAACTGATGGTTGGGCAGATCGGAAGAGACAATGTAAACAAGTAATTGCTTCTAGTTCATTTGAGTGGTCGGCGGTAGGCCTGAGCGGAGGGAGGGAGAAGCACTGAAGCAGCCTGCTATGGGAGAATCCATCTGTTGGCTATATATACACACCTATGATGTCAAACTGAGAGAGGGACAGGCAGAGAGAGAGGGGGAAAGGGAGCAGCAGGGGTCGGTAGATATGTTAAGAATTGAAAAGGGGAAAAAGGGATATTATCCAGGAAACAAAGATTTTTGAAATAAATGTATCAAAGTCAATGGTGTGTTGATGCACACCAGACAGGTATGTATAGGAGAGTGAATAACCCATATCTGTTTTACCTTTTTAGCACTTGCGACTAATGTTTAAACATTAGGTAATTACCTTTCTCAATACTGATATTGATTGTAAATGGTTGAGCACTCTGGATCCAAAGTGCCTATCCTGACACGATGAATTGTCCAGAAACGATGCATGCATGTACTGTAAATGAGCTTTACCCTTTTCAATTTTGTCTCATTGATATCTTTCATTTCAGTCTTCAAATGCTATCCACAGCTATATTAAATTACTATTAATACAAGAATGATATCAGAATTGCTATGCAGAACTCTTTTTCATTACATGCTGCATTCAGTGAATTATAAACACTTTATAGAAGTTATAAATGTGGACAATTAAACATCTGATAAAATGTCTATTTAAAAACTGTATGTAGTTCAAACTCCTACTTCAAGAAACCTATTAATAACACAGATTAATTCTGTTAATATTAGGTTTGTACTAATTAACAGAGCACACAGGGGAGGTCTGGTAATAATGAGAAAGACAGATAAAACATGACAAAGAGAGAGAGTGACAGGGAGAAATCTACAGGACGGGGACAAACAGACAGAGGCTATGGGAGACAAAGAAGGACACCCACTCAAACAACAAGTCAGCGGGAGCAAAAGAAGATAGACTGACAGTGCGATAAAGCAAGGGGGCAGAGATAATGACATAGACACAAATTACAGGACATCAAGAGAGATGGAAAATTGAGCAAACAGGACAGACAGACAGGGGGGAGACATTGACAGAGAGACAAGATACTGCAAGACAGGGTGGTAAACACACGGGTGAAAGACGGACAGTGGGACAGATTGGGAACACGAAAAATGGGAAGTGAGACAGAGAGTGAGACAGAAAGAAAAGACAAGGGAGAGAGACAGGAGTATGCCCATGTGACTCCGCTGATCTAACAGGACTTGGCTTAAGCGCAGCTGTTCCTCTGGCTTTCGTCCGCATCGCTGGGGAAAACTCTATTCCAGTGTGAGAAGCTATTTATAGGCGCACCCAGGGAGACGTGAAACTAGTGAATCTCATAACATGCTTTGTTCCCCCTGTTTGCTATTTTAATGCCGGTACAGTTACCCAGTGTCCCTAGGTTACAGATCTACACTGGGTCACAGCAAAAAAGGGGAAGAGGGAGGAAGAATCAGAAGCCTCTTCACACACTAATGCACACACACAAACACACACACACAGGTGCAAGGCTGCATCTCCATGTGGATAAAAAGCTGTTATTTCTGTGTTTAGAATGTGACGTGCTGAACCATATAAAGCTAGGGAAAATTGTTCGGTTTACAATCAGGCCGTGGGAAATTAAATGTTACTTGATTGGCGTATCTCTGCAACAACAACTTCATGTTAATTTATAATATATAACTGCAAAACAATCAGATTAACATGAAAATCAAAAGAGAGACCTGTCAACCAACCGTCAACAAGGGGATGCTTGTTGCCATTTTTTTGGATTAACATACAGTATATAAAATGTATTATCTGTTTGCTGGTGCCAACTTGTTAGGATTGAATGGGCAATTATTTCAACTGAATTTTCTTTTATTGGTCATAAAGAAATATTTACTTACTGGAATATTCTGATTTCTTACCATGGTCGTTTACAGGCCAAGGCTGCTGATCCAGTGGTTAAGGGTTTACCTAGGCTGCCATGTGTTTGATTTAGGGATTACACAAGTACAGCC